AGAAAACACAACAAATAAAAAATATGTCTTTGTAATTAGCATGACAAGGTTATACATCAGTTTCCCCTTAATATTTCTCTTTGAGCAGGCTATTATGCTAGCCTACCCAAATATAAAGAGCCAGGCAAACTGAGATCCGTGAGGCCCGAACCATGGTATTCAGCTGGTCGGTCAACACCTCCATGTGAATTTAAGTCCCGCAGAGGGAAACTGTCCCTTACAAGGTCATCGCACATCCTGTGTATAAGCCTCTCTCCAAAGGCGGAAGGGATGCTCACGCCCTGTGCGCAATACCCACGTCCCTTGTCCCCTCTGCTGACTGAAGAGTGAAGGAGCTAGATGGCTTTACAAACGGGGACAGTCACCACCTTTCCCCTGGCGTAGCTGCTGAGCACCAGCCTGCTGGCAGAGCCGAACCTGTACAAGACACTGTACACACCCGGAAAGCACCCTCGGGCTTCTCGACTCAACAGCTTGTCTGTCAGTAGTTATCTCCCGTTCAGCAGGTCCGAAGAGGAGCCTCAGTCTCCCCACTCCTCCCCCGAACCTGCCGCACCCACGAGCTCCCTCATTTCAGTTTCGACAACTCCATCCTTGGCTCCTCTATGTCAGGCTTCAATAATTTACCCGGTAGCCCCGTGGACTCAACTGGCAAAACACACCCACACTCTGGCCACTTCCCACCAGCCCGAGTGCTCCTGCCCACTAGAGACACCATCGGCTGCTGGGAGCCACCGTCGCCTCCTGACAGTCCTCGCTGCTTCTACCTCTGCGTCGGTGCAGTCTCCACAGAGCGGAAGCAGGAACTCTTGAGAAAAGAAATCAGATCACGTCACTCCCTTAACCCAAACTTGCATCAGCTCCCCTTTTCACTCAGGTAGAGCTCAAGTCCGTACCTGCAGGCCCTTTGCGATCTGCCAAACCATCACCTTTTTCCATTTCTCGCCCTTCACCGCTCCTGTTCCAACAACTCTCACCCTCTCGCTTTCCTCAGAAATTCAGGCACACTTTCTCCCTCCTTAGGGACTTTTACTCTCCTATCTGCTGGAACCTTATTTCCTAAGATACCTGTTTGACCCACTCCTTTACCTCACCTGTTCAATAAACCCTGGTTGAGCCCCCTTATTAATGCTGCACTCTGCCCCCCAACAATCCCACCCAGACACCCCTCTGTACATCCAAGCTCTCTCACCCTCCTTATTATTTTTCTTATGTAGGGTAGAATATTTAGGTGTGTCTGTATCTATTAATGGGTTTATTTTGTGTATCGTGTATTGTCTGGCTCTCCCAGCTGGAGTGGTGACACTTTGACGGAACCTACCTGCCTGCGTATCTCTCATGATTCTTTTTTCGGTTAATATGTTAAATGCTTCCTTCTTCAAGAACTTTATAAACGTGACCTGTGTTCATAGCCACTGCATATGTGAATCTCATCAGATCGTCAATAATACTGCATCTCCTTGAAGCCAGGTACTCAGCTGCTAAGGGGCCCCCTGGAAAGTCTTAATCATGACCCCTCCCCTCGATGTCCTATATAGCCTTGCTTGTTTCTGTGCTTTATGGACACAAGGACAGAATATGTTTTGTCTGTTCCCTTAGCTCAAGCAGCTAGGCATGATTAAATGGTGGCCCTGTCATCATGATGATGGTGACATAAGCAGTCTGAAGTCTGACACCTGAGCTCCCAAAGGAATACTTGTGTTAGTGTGGCAGGTGATGGGGGGGTTGGAATGGGCAGGAGAGAATCAAAGAGAGGTGCGAGTGTGTGCGTGCGTGTGTGTGTGTGTGTGTGTGTGTGTGTGTGTGTGATGTCAGGTAACGAAAACAGTGCATTTACTGGCTCAGAGACTGAGGGGTATCACCTTTTTGTGCATGACACAGAACCAAAACACATAAATAGAGAACTTTCCCTAACACATCATGGTGAATTTGCCAAGGTACGTAGAGGTGTTCCTGCTAACTGAAATAAGCTATAACCTTGAAACCAGGGAAAAGGAGAGAGTTGTGGCTTATTTAGTTTAGAATGGGCATTCTAAGAAAGCAAGCCTACTAATAGTAAGTGATGGCTAGACAGCCAAGCTGGTAGCCTTTGGCAGAAGAGAGGGCACACCTGGATTTTCCGACCTCCTCTGCCTGTGTGGCACCAGAGGAAAGTGCCCTGAGGCTGGGTGCAGAGTCAGATGCTGGCAGCGTGCACAGAAGTCATTTCCTTCGGTGATGCTGGGGGAGTGTCCCCAGGCATGCAGAGCTCGGCATGGGCCTCCCTGGACCTTGAGTCCCTGCCTTTTCGTGTCCTGATCAGAGCACGTAAGCTCCCGCCAGCTGCTCTCCTGCTGTGCTGGTGTCCTGGGGCTGCAGTCACAAAGTGCCACGAACCACGGATATCTCATGGTCCTGGAGTCTGCATCCTAGAAAAGGGCTGTCATTCAACCAGGCTGGCACCCTGATCTTGGACGTCCAGTTTCCAAAACTGTGTGAAATTACTTTCTGTGGCTTATAAGCTACCCAGTCCATGGTATTTTGTGATAGCAGCCAGAACGGATAAAGACATACACCATCTTCCTACCTGAACTCCTGGTCCACTTCTAGCAAGGACGAGCACACCTCCTCTGAAGTCATTTCATGGGAACTCTGAGCAAGGAAGGTCTACATCAGAGTATGAACCTGGGGATGAAGGTCATCCTATAGAGTGTCCCAGGGGCAGATATGTTTATCCATGGTTGGGAAACCCTTCCATGAATGTGTGCAGCTTAGTGGAGCCAAGATCCGGGTTAAGTGCAGCCCTCTTCAGAAGGGCAGTTTCTTCTCTATGGCAGAAGCCTGCCTTCAGCCCCCAGAGAACTGGTCAGAGACCCTGACAGACCAGAGTCAGGCACTCTGGCTCTGATAATACGCAGAGTAGGAGACTGTCTACATGGCACGATTGGAGGAACATGGCCTGGAACGTCCAGCCACAGGTAACTTATCTGCTGACGTCCTCCGTGGTTGATACACCCACCTTAAGGATGACTTTGAGTTGGGGACTGAAGCCTCCAGCCAATTGGCAAGCATATTATTTGGAAGGAATTAATATTATAAACCATTATTAATCATCAGTTCCTTAGAACAAATGAGTTTATTATGCTTGTTCATCAGTCAATTGTGAAAGATTGAAAGAATAAATTTAAAAAACCTATAAGGGTCAGTGAAGGCTATTAGCTATGATAGACCGTTGTGCTATCTTCATAAGGAAATAGGAACACTGGTATTTACCGTACGTATTACAGTGAGCTTGGAGACAGGCTTCAACATCCTTCGATGTAATGGGCTTAAGCAGGAAGTTTCATGCTCCAGCTTTAAAAGGGTTGGGCTTAGGATGTCAGTTGTCTGTGTCCCTGTGAGCAGCCTGAAGGTGACTGGACAAGCTATTTGNATCCATGATAGGGAATCAAGTTACCGAGGAAATCTTAACTTTCTTCTTTAACCTTCGTTAAACTTCACAATTGCCTCTTTTGTGTACTTGACGGGAGCCATGGATTAGGCCCATTTCTGGTTACAGACTAAAGACATTTGGGAAGAGACAGATGGTCTCTCCTGGTCTTCCTCTGGCCACTGACTAGCTGTCCATCATCGGAACAAGCCTCAGGTGCCTCAACCATAAAACAAATGGATCGGAATAGATGGCGCTTAAGTTCTGTGTAAGCTCAAAAGTTCTATGAAGCCGTTTCTATTCTTGTTCACATTTTTTTTAGTCTTGAAAGGGAATTGGAGACAGATATGAATACCTTTATATATCTTATCTCTTAGTGTTTGTGAGTAGGGCAATAGTGTGAATATGTACGATAATCAAACTTCACAGACACTAGATTTAAACACACATATGGCGCTCATGCTAAATAGCACATAATGCATTTCCGTCTATGCCAGGGTACTAAACTAACTATCCAGAACACCCTTACGTGCCAACATAGTGAGTCAAGCCTAATTTTTTAACTTAAAACATTTTTTTTTAATTCCTTCTTCACTTATCCTTGAAAGATGCTCTGATTTAATCCATAATTTGGGAAAAGGTGAAAACTGCCTAAAAGCTTTACTCAAGGAAAAAAAAAAACAGCACTCAAATATTTTAAACTAAAATGTATTAATATTGAAAATTGCTAATAATGGTAATTTCTTGAAGTGTTCTATTGGAATAGAAAACAAGCAGTTATTGATGGCTTTAAAATGACATTGTGTTTCAAGAGCATATCTGATTTTTATCACTACAAATTTCATTGCAGGAAGTAAGAGTTAGGATGATGTACTTTGTTTGCTGAAACCTGGTAATAATGCCAGGACCCCCTTAGGCCAGCAAATGGCTTGTAGTCAAGTATAAGCCAGGCCCCGATCTATGATCTAGGTTGGTCGGTCTTCTCCTTTATGAGTATTCAGATGTTACCTGGGGGCCAAACCATCTACAACCGTTCACCTGTATGCTCCTTGGTCCTGCTACTGGATGACTTCAGCTCAGCTGATCAGACCAACCGTCTCCCACACAACCCACTGAAGTGGTCAAAATAAACGACTAACCCGCGACCCTGTCCTATGATCAGGAATGTGGTGCCTGGTCAATAACTTGGTGTTACGTTCATCTTATAAAGGGGAATGCCATGATTCCCCCGCCAATTTTCTAGGCTGTTCCTCTGCTTCAAACAAAGATGTAATTACTTATTTCCTTCTCTGAATGTCAACCCAAACTTTAAAGCAGTTTTCCTTGAGTAACATGAACGTACGTGGACACATATGGACTGAAACACACGTGTACTCTCTCTATGAGAAAAGAGAACAAATTCTTTGTGAGGGACCCGTGGTGGAAAGCCACCAAGTAGCATGTACCCGACGTGTATACAGGCAGCCCTAAGATTGCCAGTGGCTGGCAGAAGGTCAAGGGAAAATTCCTGCCTGGAAGAGAGAATGCCTTGTGCAGACATCAAAGTGTTGCTTCTGAGAGGGGCAGTTTTTATGTTGTGTTGGCAGGAATGGCTGCTCATTCAGATCGTCCAGAGGCCCCACAAAAGGCTTGGCATGTTCTGAACTTGGCGGGCGCTGCTTTGGGCTGTGGCATTTATTCCCTTCCAACCCTTTAAACTGACGTGACGCCTCTCTGTCTCCTGTCTCAGACTGACCGCTTGGGGTGGTCGCTTTCAGGCCACTGGGACAGGAGCAGGCTGCAGTGGTTCTGTGTTTTGGGGGGCAGGGCAGCAATCTGGGGCTGATGCACAGTGGAGACCAAGACAGAAGGCTGCCTCTAGCTGAGAAGTTCCTCTAGCACTCAATAGCTGTGTTCAGTGGTCTCTCAAATGGAGTGCCTGTACTCCAGGGGTAAAGATGACCCACTGTGGTGCAGGATGAAATTATTAGGATGCTTTTACATTAATTTACATTTAACATCTGTTTTGTGTCTATTTTATGATATGTAATCTATTAGTATAATTGCGCATGTACTATAAGGAAACACATACATTTATTGGCCGAACAACCGCAAACGTTTTTATGAGTAGGGATACATAGTCAAATAAGTTTGCAGGCCACTGGGGTTGCTGCTCAGGCTAACGTATGCATTTCTTGAAGAGGGTCTTTCTTTGCCTACGAAAGCAGTCCTGGATGGCAAAGTCCTGTTTTTTTGTCACTTTTTTTTTAATTGTTATTAGTCGTCTCTTTGCAAAAATACCCCCAAACCTGTAAGTATTCTATCATCTGTCACTGCTTTTCTGGGGGTTAGCTCTTCAAATATTTAATTTGTAAAAATATAGAGGAAGGTACAACTTATCTGAGGCGCTTAACAGATTTCAGTGACATGAGACATTTGTGGAGGAGGGAAGAGTGACTGGGTATTGCAAGATGCAGCATTTCCTGGGCTATTTTAAGGGGTTTTCTTTTATTTATATGTGCTGTAAATATAAAATCAAGAATGAAATGAGAATGTGTGAATATTT